ACTGCAACAAGCAAAATCACATTTTTATAACAAAAGTAGAATTCCAGGAATAATCGTGTTGATGGCACACACATTAAAATTGTCGCACCTAGGAAGGAACTGCAGCATTTGTATTATAACAGAAAGGGATTCTTCAGCATTAATGCTATGGTTGTTAGTGTACATATATACATGTGTTATTAACTTCTGATTCTAAATGTGTATGCTTATGTAATTTTCAGGTCTGTGATCATACAATGAAAATACGATACATAAATGCCAAAAATCCGGGAGCGACACATGATTCTATGGTTTTTAATATGTCGTCACTGAAAATACATTTAGAGCAGCAACATCTTAATGGTCTTCGAAATACTTGGCTACTTGGTATGTAATCAAAACTAAGCCAACATGTATTTCCTTTTTTATAATTTTCTCCGCCTTAGGTGATGCTGGATACGCTCTGAAACCTTACTTAATGACGCCGTTCAGAAATTCTGAGTAAGGATCTCTACAAAGGGCATATAACAAACAACATGCCAAAGGAGGAAGTATCATTGAGCGAACAATTGGAGTTTTGAAGAATAGGTTTAGATGTTTGTTGCAGGCAGGTGAAGAGCTCCACTATATTCCAAAAAAAGCAACACAAATTATAAATGTGTGTGCAGCTTTGCACAACATTTGCTTGTTTTATAATGTACAAATCCCCGATGAGGAGGAGTTTTCAAATGTGACTTATGACGATGATGTCGGAGACGTTGAAGTGGAACCTGTTGACAACTCACAAGCAGAAGACATAAGAAATGAAATTTTAAGAACATTATAGAAAGCATGATTAAAAAATATTAAAAACCAGTTACGCCAGAGTTTCTTGTACACATGTATGTAGGTGCATTACATAAAATTTATCTCAAATTCATTTCCTTATTTTAATATACATTTAGGTTTAAACAGTCTTTCTAAATTCATCATACAGAAAAAAATAGCTCATTAATTCATTTATCTTAAAGTTAAACTTCTTCTTATTTGGCGCTGTAACCACCTAAGCGATTTTGGCCGAGTCCAAAACAGCACGCCAGTCATTTCT